GACCGTTTCTGAAACTTTGAAACTTCAGTGACCGTTTTGATATTTTCAGGTAACTTCAGTGACCATTTGTGAAATTAACCCTATTAAAGTTTCGTTTGATGTAGATTTTTTAAAATAGATTTTGTAAAAAATGATATTTTGGAGAATATATAATTAACAAGTAGGAAAAAATTATTGATCCAAATGTAAAATTATTTTAACAAATAAAGTATGTAATTATAAATGAATTAATAAAAAATAAGTTTTAAATAACACGTGTCAAACATAATTGAATTTAACTGGGTCAAAACACTTTTGTAAATCACCTTTGTACAAGTAGCATAATTGAATTTAACAGGGTCAAAACAGGGTGACATCTTTTCCCTACCTCAGCCAATCACGGGGGACAAGACTTGTCCCCCTGTTTTGACGTTGTTGAATTTTCCTTGTATGTAGTGTAATTCTTGTTAAAATGTGATAAATAAAGGGATTGATTCTTCATTCCAAGGGATAAGCTAATAATATACCCCTCTTATCAAAATTCAAAAGGCTTCATTCCAACCTCCTTTATTCTTTTTCCTTTCCTTTTCACTTTTGGATCCAATATTTCAAACTTGAAGACCAAGAAAACATGGAAATAGAGGATTTTTTTCAACCTTCTCATTCACGTCCTATGCTATTTATCTAGCGTCACGGTCAAGTGGAGTGCACATGGCATATTTATAATAGAATATTTAGTCATTGTTTGGTATTCATTATTTTCAAATTACATTTTTTTCATCTTATTTTCAATCACGCATTGTTTAATAAAATAATATTATACGCAAATTCAGAACTTTTTTTTTTATTTTTTAACCATACATTCTCCATCAAATCACCATTCTAAAATGCATTTTTTTGTAAAAAATGAGGCTCAAACATGCTCGTAATCTTGTTTTAGTTTTTTTTTCTTCGTTATTTTCATGAGACTTTCCACGCATTTTATTTTGTAATATTCTTTATATATGATGTTAGCATTACTAAAAGAGTTATGCCAAAATATTTGGGGTAAGATAAAGTTTGTGTAATTTTTGAAAAGTTAGTTGTGTCTCTGAAATTGTAATAAACTCCAGGAAAGCTATGCATTATTCAAAATTGAAATTAGAGAGATTTATATAATTTTTCAAAAAGAGGAGGATCTCACTCAAATTTTCATAAACCTCACGAGAAGTCTAAGTAATTTTCACTTATTAAAGTTCCGTTCGATGTAGATTTTTAAAATAGATTTTGTAAAAAAAAAAATGATATTTTGGATAATATACGATTAAAATGTAGGAAAAATTAATGGATACAGATGTAAAATTATTTTAACAAAAAAGCATGTAATTATATATGAGTTAAGAAAAACTAGATTCTAAATAACATGTATCAAACATAAGAATTGATTAGTTATGGTAAAAAAACTCGCCCCGCCCCGTCCCGAATGGGGCGAAAAAAGCCCGCCCCGATGGGTGGCGTGGGGTGGGGTCGGGCCTCAAAGCACCCCGAACCCGTCCCATGAAGGAAAAAAAAAATAATTAATTACAA